CCGTCTCCGCCCGGTGCGGCGTGTTTACAGCCCGCAGCGCGGGGGGCCGGGGCGGCGCTTGGCCGCGGGCAGGGGGCACGGAGCGCCCGGGCCCGGGGGCTGGAAGGGGGTGGGGAGAGCCATCATCTCCCCGCCAGAGAAGGGGGAGGCCAGGAGCCGGCTTATTGTACCTCCTGCTGTCCCTTTTAACCCCCCAGAGGGACTTTGTCGCTTCGCCCAGGGCTGATGGATGGGGGGAGCGGGGCTGCTGTTGTCCCCTGAAGGCGTCTGGGTGCAGAGAGGTGTCTGTGCCAGGTTTTGCCTGCTTTGATCTGAGGAGGATGTGGCTTTCTCTTGCGTAAGTGGCTGGCTGCGGTAGGTGATGGGTCATCTGGTTGGGACTGTCCAGACCGGCTTTTTCTCCTGCCTGGCTTCTTTGCTGGGGGACAGAGTCCCCAGTGCTCGGGGCAGGGGCCTGGCCTGGCCCACCTCCAGGTAGTGCTGCTGTTTACGCCCACAAAGCTGAGGGCAAGTGAGAGCTGTACAGATCCGGACCTAGACTTGGATATGTTCGTAATATAAACCCCTCCCCCCATCCTGTTTTGTTAGCCAGTGGGTTTGCTGTGTAGAAATTGTTTAAAGCTTGTTTTTGTTTTTTGCTCTTTATCAGAAGGAGGGGAAATATCAGCTGATGCTTATTTTCTACCCCCTGCAATTCTAGGAAGATCTCTTACCATGAACCTCCACCTGTGCCTGCTCTCCCTGTGCTTGGGACTGTCCTCTGCTGCTCCCAGAATGGATCCTGACTTGACTAGCCACTGGCAGCTGTGGAAGTCATGGCACTCGAAAAACTACCATGAGGTCAGTGTTTTGTTTTTTTCCAGCAGAGGCAGACTGCTGTCATATGGGTATTTGCTTAGAACTAGCACCATGGGGGGGCCAAGTTTTGTGGCAGCCTTGCCACAAGCTAATCCTTACACCTCCCCAAATGACACTGCAATAGTCGCATTGAAGTAGGGCAGGAAAGGACCTCCAGAGGTCATCTAGTCCAGCCTGCTGCCTGAGTCAGGGTTGTCTCTATCAAACTGCAAACTAAATTCTACATAAGACTATCTCCCTCCCTTGCCTAATACCCAGCTCTTCTCCCTGCTGTAATTCCCACTCTTCTCTCTCTACTCCTTTCCAGATCTGCTGTGTTCCTCCTACACAGGCCTATGGCCCGTGTATGACAAGCTGGCCACCTCAGTGTAGAGCAGCTAAGGTTGGGTGTACAATGTGGCCTAATGTTTAGCACTGTGATAGTTTAGTCCTGCTGGCTTTTAATGGGGGCTAACAGTTGCATCTACAAGATGGAGTTATTGATTTTTAGGAGGAGTTAAAAAGCTTAATTTTTTTTTCTCATCCTTGAATGAGAGTTAACATAATTGAAAATAATGTTGTTTGTATACTTTTAACTATTACACAAACTTAAGGCAGCAAAAAGCCTATCTGTTCTGATGGTCTTGCTCTACAAGTACACTAGTATCAAAATAACGGGTTGGTTCGTTTTTTGACTTGCAGAAGGAAGAAGGCTGGAGGAGAATGGTATGGGAAAAGAACTTGAAAATGATTGAACTACATAACCTTGATCACACGCTGGGCAAGCATAGCTACAAACTGGGAATGAATCAGTTTGGTGATATGGTAAGTCCTTGAGAGAGCCATGAAACTTACTTGGTCTCTTAATAGCATATGGCAGGAGTTCACTGCATTTCTTTTTCAGACAAACGAAGAGTTCAGACAGCTAATGAATGGGTACATCCATAAAAAATCACAAAAGAAGTATAGAGGATCCCAGTTCCTTGAGCCGAACTTCCTGGAAGCCCCAAGATCTGTGGACTGGAGAGAGAAGGGATATGTAACTCCTGTTAAAGATCAAGTATGTCTTGTGATGGGTTTTGTGTGTGTTTTGACCAATTTGAAAGCCTGATTCATCAAATAACTAACTTTGGAAAATAACGGGGAAAAATCACGATTGCATATTAAGCATTCGTTAATCCTCATAAAGACTGCTGCACACTTGCTAATATAGCATGATGTTTTCTTTAAACTTTTTTTATGGTGAAGAAATCACTTGCTTGAGACTCGTAGCAGCATTTTCTAAGGTGCAGACCTTTCTTTAGGATTTTCACCCAACTGAATGGCAACTGTAAGCTTTGAAAGGACCCCTACCTAATATTTTTTTCAGGTGAGGTCCCTTTTGAGCATGAGTAAACTGGAATTTGTATTGTATGCTGTTCAGACTGCTGTGGTAATCTGGACTGTGTATGCTGTCTGACCTTTTTTGGAGTCATTTTATTTTCCTGCTCTATTTCAGGGTCAATGTGGATCTTGCTGGGCATTTAGCACAACTGGTGCTCTTGAAGGACAACATTTCAGAAGAACTGGTCAGCTGGTCTCCCTGAGTGAGCAAAACCTTGTAGACTGCTCTCGACCCGAAGGCAATGAAGGATGCAATGGTGGTCTGATGGATCAAGCGTTCCAGTATATCCTGGACAATGGAGGGATTGATTCAGAAGAGTCTTACCCATACCTAGCAAAGGTAAATACACTAACTACAGAGAGATATTTTACTCTATATGGTGTATCTAAACTGTAAAAATGCAGGGTAAATGTACAGGTTTTATTTTTGGGAAGAACTTCATAAATAACTTCTTGAATAGACTTTTTTTTTTCTTTCTAGCCTTTAGCTTCTTTCACTAACCAAAGAAGAAATCTGCCTACCACTATCTTTATTTTCTCAGAAGCATGAGATGCTTGCCAGATCAAACCACTAGTGGTACTTTTGACACAGACACATCAAGGCTGACCATAATGGACTTCTGGGTGTAGATCAGTGTGTGTTTGTTTTTGTGGTTTTTTTTGAGAAGCTGATACAGTACATCCTGTAGCAACACTAAACAGGGCACCCTGCCATTCACTTTAAGCTGTCTGTGAAGGTGTTGGTCATCAAGCCTTGAAGTCAAAGATACATGCAGGAGAGGTCAGCCTCAGAAATGGTTGTCCTGGTTTGTTTAATCAGCAGTAGATAAGTGAACACACGGAGAAGACTGCCAGCAGTTTCATCTGAGCCTTGGAATACTAGATCAGATGCTTAGGCTTTTTTGTTTTATTTTTAGCTGGGGACATCATCCTTGCCAATGGCCACTCAACTCTTTGTGGTCTCCTCTTCTTTTTGTTAACACTGCTTGTAGCACTTGTAAGCTTTTTTTTTTTCTATTGAGATTTTTTTATAATTTGGAATCTCTGTTCCTGCTCCCCTGAACTCTTTTAATTTTGTTAAATGTGTCCCTAAACACTTGCTGCTTCAAGGCAGTCTCTCTAACCTATTCTGTAATATACTTGACACACAAGCTCTTTACCTGCCCCCTCTCCCCACAAAGGAGAAATCGGTGCTTTGCTAGCACTCCAGGTATTTAATAGTATGTATAGGCTTGGTAGGAGAAACTGATACAGGGGCATATATTCAGCTATATGGTGTGAAAGATCCTGATAACAACTCTTGTTGTTATAAGATGAACTTTTTGTTATGAGCTCCCTCTTCCTCTAACCTGGCAGTTCTGTTTTGGTCCACAGATGATTCCCAGTTTGAAAGCACATAGGAATTTGTAAATAGAGGGAGGGAATGCAAAATGGTTGGCTAACTATAATTGGTTAAGGATTTGGGAGGCCTAAGAGCATTATCTACAAATTTCCCATCATGTGTGGTACCATCCCTTAGTGTCATCTTAAGCCCTGGTTAGTTCTACCTCTTTATTTTTAATGAAAGAATCTTGAGTCATTCTCTGGAACAGGTTCTGGGCTTTTCCTCCCTCCCATCTCTCAAAATTGTATATAACTTTTTTTTTTTTTTTTTTTCCCTCTTGGCTTTTTGTGCCAAAGCTGGGTTTCTTTGCAGTTTCTGTAAACTTTTTTTTTTTTTTTTTTTTTAAGGTAGATCCCTGCCCATAGGTGAGATGAGTGAATAGGGAGCTTCAAGACATTCAGGATCTATGCATTCCATTGACACTTTTTTTTTTTTTTTTTTTCCCTCTTGGCTTTTTGTGCCAAAGCTGGGTTTCTTTGCAGTTTTTGTGCCAAAGCTGGGTTTCTTTGCAGTTTCTGTAAACTTTTTTTTTTTTTTTTTTTTTAAGGTAGATCCCTGCCCATAGGTGAGATGAGTGAATAGGGAGCTTCAAGACATTCAGGATCTATGCATTCCATTGACACTTTTTTTTTTTTTTTTTTTCCCTCTTGGCTTTTTGTGCCAAAGCTGGGTTTCTTTGCAGTTTCTGTAAACTTTTTTTTTTTTTTTTTTTTAAGGTAGATCCCTGCCCATAGGTGAGATGAGTGAATAGGGAGCTTCAAGACATTCAGGATCTATGCATTCCATTGACACTTTTTTTTTTTTTTTTTTTTTTTTTTTC